GTGTGGTGTGCTGTGGCGGTGTGCGGTGGTGTGCGGTGGTGGTGTGTGGTGTGCAGTGGCGGTGTGTGGTGTGTGGTGGTGGTGTGCGGTGGTGGTGTGTGGTGTGCGGTGGTGGTGTGTGGTGGTGTGTGGTGGTGTGTGGTGGTGTGCGGTGGTGTGTGGTGGTGTGCGGTGGTGGTGTGCGGTGGTGTGTGGTGGTGTGCGGTGTGGTGTGCGGTGGCGGTGGCGGTGTGCGGTGTGTGGTCTGCGGTGACGGTGTGCGGTGTGCTTAGGGAGGCCAGGCCACGAGGCTTCGGTGCCGTCTGCCCCGCTGGACGGGGTCAGCGGAGGGCAGCCGCTGCCCGCACATCTGCCCCTCGGCACTCGATAGGGCCACCTCCGCGGCGGCCATGCGAGCGCCTAGACCTGCCGCAGGTGAGGCCGACGGCTCTGCCCAGGGCCCGGGCTGCGGGTGTCCGGCAGAGTGCCCCTCCCTGTTCCCAGAGGCGCACACGCTGGGTGCACGGCCGGGCACCGGACCCTGCGGCAGTGACTTTGTGTGTCCCACGTGGCAGCTGGCCCCGTGAACTGCGTGGAGATGAGTGCTGAGCACGGGCCCCTGGCGTCCAGGAAGCACCATCTTGGTGTGTGTGTGTGGCGGGGGGGCTTCCCATCGAGTCTTCCCAGCTTCTGCTCACCCTCCCCCCCCCAGGGAGGGAGTCCTGGGGCCTAGGGTCCCGGGGCCGAGCCATCTGGAATAGCGCTGCCCGGGTCCCGTCCCCCACCAAGGGAGGGAGGGAGGAGGGAGGGCTGTGGTCTTGCCAAGATGGCTCCCCAGGCCTCAGGACGCTGTCGGTGGCTAACGCGAGCCCAGGGGCCGGGGCTGGGAGCTGCCCGCCCCTGGGTCAGGGCCCTGCCCGGTTGGCCTCAGAGCCCCGGGGTTGGGGACGGGAGCCCCGCAGAGGGCTTGGGGCCCCCCAGTGACCCCCGTGTGCTCTCCTCCAAGGGCTGGAGTACCAGAGGCGGAAGCACCAGGTCTCCTGCGAGGACCTCGAGGGACTGTCCGCGGGGACACCCCTGCCGCAGGAGAGCCCCGAGCTGTACCGCAAGGGCACCACCCCCTCCGACCTCACCCCCGACGACAGCCCCCTGCACAGCCCCCCCGCCAGCCCCGCCGCCAGCCCTCCGCCCGCGCCCGCCGCCAGGAACAAGGCTCACTTCTCCCGGCAGGTCTCGGTGGACGAGGAGCGGGGCGGCGACATCCAGATGCTGCTGGAGGGCCGGGCCGGGGAGCCCGCCCGCA